TGTGTCTTATAGAGGCTTTCTTTGCCTGTTCTAACCCTTCTTCCTCCCAACAGTTTGAATCTTTCTTTAGGTCAAACCATTTCCTTTGAGAATTGTTTTAGGAAATACCTCTCCATGTATTCAGGGAAGGGCTTATCTTTTTTATTTTTAAAATGCTTATTGCTTGATATTAAAAACAAAGACACCCTTGACTCAAAGGCATTCTGTTCCTGTGCCATGCGGTTAATATTTCAAAGATGCTTCACATGCTAGATGTTTCTGGATTAAGAATTCACATAATAACAAGTTCTGCTTATTTTGGTTCTCCACAAAGGTTTGTTGTATGAGCTTAAACCAAGGCTGCAGCTGACTCCTGTGACACATATTAACTGTTGACTTAGTATAAGTGCACGTCTATCTTGAGTCTCTCATCAACCTGGAAAATTTGCATGCTGCATAGCAGCCATCTTCTTTTATACTTTATTAAATATCTGTCAATTACAAATATCAAGGTTTTACATTAATGTCAAGATAGTACATCAAAAATTCATGGAATATGTGACTTTTTCCAAGGGTATTTAATACTTAATGCATTTGTGTCATTTTTCTTTCCAGAGATATTGACAGGTTTTATTAAGTGTTTGTTAGGGAGATTTCATTTTTATCAGGGGACTATAAAGAGAAGCTGCATGCTAAATCAATTTTTTAAAGCCAGAATATCATTCATTTTTTCATCTTCAAACACTTATAATCCATAGGTTTTATTTAAATTTCTTCTTGGTTTATTTTTGTTTTATGTGAGTGATAGTTCAAGACGGAACTTTAATAAGGATCAAATATGCTGACTGTAGTGGTTTTTAATTTCCTTAAGCATTGCTACCAGACCCATGCAATATGGTAAATTCTTCAAAATGTCATACTTAACATATTTAGCAATATTGCTTCTTTTTATTGAAGCCAAACAAACAATTTTAGATATTAATCTTTCCCAAACATAGTGATTATTTTGTACGAGGCACAATATTACTGTGTCTCACAGGAAACCGCCTTTGGATAGAAAAGGGAAGAGGGGAGATTTTTTTTCTGAATCACCTGGCTTTGCGGAAGGATCCCAAACCCTTTCTAAAAGTAAGCTCTTTATGCTGCAAGTGTGATTGTGAGCATTGGCACTTGTCCATCATGGCCCCACTGTCGATAGATAGGTACCATGTTCAAGACAGTAAGAGCATCAGCTGCTCTGAACACAGTCTGTGGCAGCTAGTTCCTGGGTCTGTATTTCTTGGGGTTTTTTATGGGTATGGTAACCTGATCTGGCCTAGCTTTTTGTCCGTATCCTATTGCCTGCCCTTGAGGTCCCCATTACTTGCCTCTTTCCTGGCCACAGGAAACGGTTTGTGGACACTCCTTATCAATGGCAAACTCTAAGCGTGAGAAGTACCATCACAACTGAAACCAGCCAGCCGCCAGAACTGAGGTTTCTGTTTTAACGCACATTTTAATTTTCGGAGCGCAGGTCAGAAATGCTTTCTGTTGGAATGGCTGCTGTGCTGGGAGCCGGCTGGTGGGATGTCAGCGCCCGAGCACGGGGTGCAGACTACTCCTCTACCCTCCGCTTAGCAGTAGCTAAGGAGGGTTTATTGAAGGACATTTGAGAACCTTCAGGTCACTTTAAATTAATTTTTACAAGATGTTTTAAAATCTTGGAAATAGGGGAAAAGCTTTTAAAAAATCACTTAAAGGTCAGACTTTGAGGAAAAATTATTTGGAAAAGACATTTATGCTTTTTACCTTTTCAGAATAAGAAAAAAATGTCAACATTTAATATTTTTCATGGATGAGTCATTTTTATTATGAGTAGCTTTTAGTATTTGATATCATATAATAAAATTTAAACATAGGGTGGTTATTGTTTTGCTTAGGTAAAGCTGATAAAAGTGGCCATTTTGGATAAACCCAGTTTGTGTCTGCAATAAAGTACTGTCAGTGATGGCCTGGCCTTCCAGAGCAGCTGGACACCTAGGGACTGGCAGCCACCCTCCGGGCTGGCAGCCACTCTCGCTGCTGCCAGTAGGTGGCGCTGTCGTCACGGTGGAGAGAGCCCTGCTGAACTGGAAGTCACTCACATTTTGCTTCAGTGTAACTGTTAAGTGCTTGTATCAGTGGCAGAATAGCTTTTATGCCAGAAGTGTGTGCAGTAGGCACACCCTGCTTTTTTTTAAGAATAACTATTTCTAACAATGTCTGCAAATATTATATAACCATTCAAAAAAATAATAGCCAAATTCAGCCTGAAAATGCACTTATATTTTTAATGACTTCATCAGAATTCTGAGTATGACTTTTGAGGTTACATAAGAAATGCCTGTAGGGGCTGGGAAGGTGCTCAGTGGTAGAGCACTTGCCTTGCATGCATGAGGCCCTGAGTTCGATTCCTCAGCACCACATAAGCAAAAAGAAAAAAGCCGGAAGTGGCGCTGTGGCTCAAGAGCGCTAGCCTTGAGCTGAAGAGCTGAAGGACAGTGCCCAGGCCCAGAGTTCAGGCCCGGCGACCAGATCCCCCCCCCCCAAAAAAAAAGCCTGTAAATTGGAGTCCAAGCACATGGCTTATACCTGTAATCCTTACAATCTGTGTGTGTGTGGGGGGGGGGTAAAGATTTGGATCATTATGATTCAAAAGTAGAAAGTTAGCATGGCTTCATCTCATGAGATGGCAGTTAATTGAAGAAGTAAGTATAGGTAGGAAAATCGAATGTCAGTCCCAGGGGGGAAAATCCATGACATAAAGCCCCCCTCCCCAAAATGTGTGTGTGTGTGTGTGAATGTGTGCATGGCTGAGGAAGAAGAACTCCTGCCTAATAACTAAAAAGCTTATTGCCAAAAAGAAGAGGGGAAAATGTATATCGATCATGGTACCCTTTTTCCTTAACTGGCCACCTGTACTCATGGTTTTCTAGGGTTCAAAACTTCAGGTGTCAGAAGTGTTCAAGCATTGAGATTTAGCATTACAAACTCCAAAAATGCATCTTCTGTTTTCAAGTCAAATTTTTGAGAAGAAGGGTATTACTACATTTTTATCATTGATGGGATTTAGCCTAGGCATTTAGTGACTTTTTAAATGCCATAGTAAATTGCATACATAGTTGTAATGAATTAAAATATTTAAAAATAACAAAACATTTCTTACCTCCAAGACCTCAGAGAGAGATGTCTGGGACCTGCAGAGTTCCCCATAGAGCAGATTGTGTGACTTTCATCTTAATATGAACAAATGGAAGTGGTAGCCGCCGGTGCTTCCCTCTCTCTTACTATCTTGAAGTAGTTGTGTTAGGGGTTTTAGTTTAACAAATCAGTTTTGTGAGTACGGTGCATCTTGGCCAGCATTGCCCTCTCATCGTAGAACCCTCCGTTCAGTTCTGAAGGGCTTCTATGGTATGTCTGATCATAATAGTTTGGGGGAGGAAAACGCCACCTGTCTTAGCTAAGTTTAATAACTGAGTGGAAGGCATGTCACACTTTGAGAGCACAACCTTACACTTGTGGCGAAGGAGCGTGAGCTGTGTCCATCCTCTGGGCTCTTAAGTCAGCTAGCCGTGTTAAGAATTGTCCCTTCCCGGAGCTGTGATTTCTCCGACTTATCATCTCAGGTGAGAATGTCCGTGCCATATACCCTAGTATGTATTGCCTAAGTCCCTCCACTACTTTCATGTTGTTAGTGCAAGCAGGCAGCTTATTTATTGCCTGCTGTTTTATTTTCTTTTATTTTTTTGAGGCAGTCTGAGGTCTTACTCTGCAGTACAGGGCAGCCTCAAACTCTTGGTTCTCTTTCCTCAGGCTTTGGTGTACTGGGGCTATGGGTATGTGCCACCCTGCCTGGCCAGACATTCATGAATCTACTTTGACATTTGACTTTTCTTCCAACGGGCTAAAACTGGGTTAAGAAGAGGGGAGAAGCAGGCACCTGGGGTCACACCCATTTGGCAGCCTTTTGTAATACATAATTTGCCAAAAATTGAGCACTGAGCACAAGCTTTTGTTTGCTAATTGATTTACGGGTTAAGCCACTTGTACCTCATCCCCTACTGTCCTGCATATGGTGCCAGCGAGTACATTACAGCAAGCCATGATAAATGGCCGAGCGTGGGTGATGCCAGGGTGTCAGGAGTCTCGTGTGCTCCATGACGCTCCTGCGTTCCCCTTGCCATGCAGACATGCAGCCGCACCCCAGAAAGAACCATTTGTTCGTCTGAGCACTCACTGCGATCTGTCTATCCGGCTGTAATTGAAACTGAAGATGAACATTATACTCCGCAGCTTTTATTTCTTAATTGACACAAAGTTTTTAAGTGCTTTAAAGGTCTGGGGTGTTGGGAAGAGAGAATAGGAAATGTATAAAATTTTCTTCCAAGTGTGAAGTCTTGGATATTTTTACCAAATGTTCTTTTGTCCAGGAAAAAAGCAGAACATTTAAAAATCTGCTGATGTCTGTCGTTCTTTATCTTATTTGGTTGTAGATTTACCACAGTACCATACTATCCTTGATTTTCTCTACCCGATTTACCTTTGCTGTGTGTGTGCACAGGAGTTGACGTTTGAGCTGCTGTGATTGTCCTTTCACGGACAGAAGAGGCTCAACCCGACCCTGGCCTTGTCCAGAGAAAGGCTGGGGCAGCCTCCTTGTTGTGCAGGCCCCGTGTTTCCGTCTGGAGCACATGTTCCTAGTGTGGGCGCCTGCCTGGTGAAATCAGCGCACCCCAAGTGTTCTGTGCAGTGTGTCAGGGCTCTGGGATCGAAGTATGAAGGAGCAGATTTATGGAGGCTGCTGGGCACAACAGATTAAGTTGACAGTGATGAATGAGGGCGTGACGGCCTGGTGATTCCCCCGGCCGCACGCCTGGACACCGCCTGCTCCGTTTGGCTCTTGTTAGGATTTGTTAGGCAGCTAACTAATGAGATTCTGCTGACTGATTTCTGTTTCCCTTTTTCTCTCTTTGCCTCTGCTTCCTAAAACTCCTCATTCCCAGACCCATCCTCATGCCAACAAACTGCCCTTGAAGGATTCTTTCACTTACGAGGACTACAGGTGGGTGTGCAGGCGTCGCAGGGGCGAATTCCAAGAGAGTGTGGGGTGGTGCGAGTGAGGGACAGGCTTCAGAGACAGCCGTCGCAGAAGCGGCTAGCACGAGACGCTGGGTGAGCCCCGTCGCCGCTCACTGAGCGGCAGCCAAAGGAGCTTGAGCTTAAATTAATCTTAGTACTGGGTGGTGCTGAAGGGTTTGTTCCCCCACCCGCAGTGGTAGAGTGGACTCACTGTAGAGTGTGATAGAAAATTGAGTTTCACATGTCACACAGTTCTTAGAGGCTCTCGCGTGAGAAGGGAGTTATGCCATTTGCTTTTCCCCAAGGCTTGAAATGGGCGCAGAGTAAGCATTTGAGTAGAGAGTGAGCCTCCCCTGGCCCTCTCCTCTCAGTGTCCCTGAAGCCTGCCTCTGCCTCCCCTTCTGCCACTCCCCTCCCTCTGAATCCTGGAGCTCAGTTTGAATGATGACAAAACAGCCTTTGAAAATTTGCCACAGGTCAAATGGCCTTATACTTCTGGTTGAGTTATTTCTTACTGCAATTGGCTTTTGGATGTTCAGACTGTAATTAACTCTTTGTCTTATTGTTATAGGTGGGCAGTCTCTTCTGTCATGACGCGGCAGAACCAAATTCCCACAGAGGATGGGTCCCGGGTGACCCTGGCCCTGATTCCTTTATGGGACATGTGTAATCACACCAACGGCCTGGTAATGGTCTTATGGGGAGGATGGGGGGGAGGCATCAGGGAGGCCGCTGCTCAGCTGTCCAGAGCATGTCTGCTTACCCCATGTATACCCCCCCCATCCCCTCAATGTCCCCACCCTCCCAACATTCTCATATCCCCTCTCTCTGTCATCTCAAGCCCCGTCCCCTCGCCCTCCTGATGTCCCCTCCCCTCCTGATGTCCCCTCGCCCTCCTGATGTCCCCTCCCCTCCTGATGTCCCCTCCCCTCCTGATGTCCCCTCCCCTCCTGATGTCCCCTTACCTCCCAATATCCCCTCCCCTCCTGATGTCCCCTCCCCTCCTGATGTTCCCTCGCCCTCCTGATGTTCCCTCGCCCTCCTGATGTCCCCTTACCTCCTGATGTCCCCTCCCCTTCTAATGTCCCCTTGCCCTCCTGATGTCTCCTAGCCCTCCTGATGTCCCCTAACCCTCCTGATGTCTCCTAGCCCTCCTGATGTCCCCTCCCCTCCTGATGTCCCCTAGTCCTCCTGATGTCCCCTTGCTCTCTCGGTGTCCCCTTTCTTCCTCCCCAGCACACCTGCCCCTCCTCCTGTGGCCTCCGGTAGGAGCTGCATTGGCTGTGTCCTGAGAACTCAATCTTAGGCCACCTTAGAGCACAGTGAACTGCACACAGAGTGTGCTGAGCTGAATTCCAGCCTGGCATTCATTTTTTTACTTGATTGGGCCACTAGTGAAACCAGAGTTTTTATTTTCGTGTTCTTTTAAATATACTGATTTCTTGAGGAAACCTTTCTTTGTCCATCTTGTTTTCCGTATATGATGCTTCTCTTGTTCTCTGCTGATTCCATTTCTGGCTAGGTGCTTTTCCTTGCTCTTCCCGGTCCCTGTCCCTTCCCTGCCATGTGTACAGTCTCGGCTGCTGTGTCGCTGGCTCTCCCCACAAGCCCTGGTGTTGAGCGCAGGAGTTGCTGGCGTCACTGGGTGGGAGACAGGAAGAAACAGGGAAATTTTAGTTTTGCTGGTAATTTCACCAGCAAAGGAGGGCGAGGCCCTGGGTTTCTTAGTGCTCATTGTGTTCCAAATATCAAGAAAGCTTTCCTGATCATGAGACATAGAAATAGAATCAGTTTCAAGAGGTATGAGAAGATAGTGTTTGGTTAGATTTTGTTCTTTTCTAATGTCAGCTTTTTTTGTTATAAACATTGATATTAAAAAATAGACTTAAAAAGAACTGGAAGTGTGGCTCAAGTGGTATAGTGCCAGTCATAGAAAAAGCCAAGCCAGAGCTTGAGACCCTGAATTCAATCCCTGGTGCCAGGGAAAAAGAAAAGAGATTAAAGAACTGCTGTAGATGATTATTTTACTTCTGATTCCACAAAAAACAGACAGCACGTGTATGCACACATGCATGCACACATGCTTGGTGTGCCAAACACTTAAGGTAGACTATCCTTCAATTAATTTGAGAAGGTCTAGCAACAGTTACTCTCTTGAATCTTGAATGTACTTAACTTGTAGTAACAAAAAATTAGTTCCATTTTATAATTACAATTTTTGCCTTAATTTAGATATGCTTAATTAGCAACACTAAGAAATAGTAATATGTTTTACATTTTTCATTAATGAACATAATTTTACATTCTTTGTTCATTTTTTTTCCCTTTGGAGATATTTTTAACTGATCTGAAGCTTGAAATTAAAATTTTTTCATAATACTTTTAATAGATGGCTCTAGTATTTTTCTTTGTTTCACAAACTCAACTTGATCATTAGAGTTTATATTGTGGTTTTTTCTTTTTTTGGGGGGGGGTTTCCTGTCGTGGGGCCTGAACTCTGGGCCTGGGCGCTGTCCCTCAGCTCTTCAGCTCAAGGCTAGCACTCTGCCACTTGAGCCACAGCGCCACTTCCGGCTTTTTTTCTTTTTTGCTTATGTGGTGCTGAGAAATTGAACCCAGGGCCTCATGCATGCAAGGCAAGTGCTCTACCACTGAGCCACCTTCCCAGCCCTATATTGTGTTTTCTAAACTTCAAAAAAGTGCACACTTTATTGTAAATAAAAAGAATAAAATATCACAGCCATCTCATGAGCTCAAAGCTCCGCCCCTCAGCCTGCGGGGAGCTGGTGTACTGGCAGTAGAGAGGCTGTTGGATAGGGGCTCCATTCTCCCCCTGGCCTCCCACCCAAGCCCTTGGTTTATGTGGCAACTCGAACATGTCCTGGACACACGTGCTGCCTCTGCCATGTGAGAAAGCTGTTTGCTTCTGTGGGCCTATCTAAAAAATCTCAGATGACAGCTCTCGCTGTTTTCCCTGGCCATCCTCCGTGAGGTGTAACTCAGATGCTGCCGGCCCGAATCAGGGCTGTGGGCCGGGCCGGCACAGGTCCTGCGGGCCTCACGCGCTCCCCCACCCCTGGCCCTGCAGCTTTGTTGAACTGTTCGCCACTGTCGTCATCAGCCTGTATGGGAAATAGTCTCTTTTAGCACTATAAAGTTGTACATCATGCATGCAGTTAATCTCTCTTTAAAAATAAAAGCCTTGAAATCAAGGCTCAGCTTTTGAAGCGAGAGCTTTTCTTTGTGTGTGTGTCTGCTGACGATCATCTTGTCAGCCTTCTGTGACTCTCTGGAGGAGTCGCAAGAAAGTTGTAACCCAGCAACGCTGTCTGCTTGGAGCAGTGTCTCCGAACCCTGGCTGCGCTGGTGTGGGGCTGGGACCGTCAGTGTGGGGCCCTGGCTGCAGAACAGCACAGCGGGGAAAGGAGGCAGACAGGAGGAGGGCCTGGTGCCGGGGCGAGTTCCCTAGCCGCCTGGACAGTCAGAAGGCCAGTCCTAAGCTGGAGCTTGCATAGTGGGTCAGCTTTCCTTTCTTGAGGTGGTTTCGTTTATACAAGGACACCCTGGCTGTACCTGACCTCTTTGCTCAAGTGTCCAAAGTGTTAGTATTTCACCTGTCAGTCAGGGTCAAAGAATAGCTGCAAATCCAAGCAAGTTGAACAAGGTTTTTTTGTTGTGGTTGTTTGTTTTTTGTTTTGTTTTCTGTTTATTCCCAAGGTCTTTGTGTACTGAGAAATTGAAAAAGCCCAGTTTTATCATAGTGGACTGGACCCCTGCACAATCTGTCCCCACAGTACCTTCAACATGTGTGGTTCTGTCATTAGACACCAGTGCATCTTGCCCCAGGACTTTGCACTTGTTTTCACTGTGGTCGCATTAAGTCCTGTGGTAAGACCTGGTGGTTACTGTTGTTACCAAGAGTGAGAGACACGCCGGGTGCTGGTGGCTCACGCCTGTAATCCTAGCTACTCAGGAGGCTGAGATCTGAGGATCGCAGTTCAAAGCCAGCCCGGGCAGGAGAGACCGTGACCAGAAAACCAGAAGTGGCGCTGTAGCTCAAGTGGTAGAGCACTCACCTTGAGCTGAAGAGCTGAGGGACAGCGCCCAGGCCCAGAGTTCAAGCCCACGACTGACAAAAAAAAAAAAAAAGTGAGAGACACCTGAAATACCCATGAGCCCCTGTCATCTTCTATTCATTCTCTTTCTTCCCTCCTTCCCTAGTGTCTCTCCCTCCTGTTTTTTGAGTTCATTATAAAAGGACATTTCTTGTTATCGAGGTGATGTTTTAGAGTCAGAATAGTGAATCAGAAAGAATTGGATGGAACTGATTTTGATCTGAGTCACGTGTTTCAAGTATTGAGCATCAGAGGTTTCAGAAGACATGGCATCCTTTGTTTCTCTTCACTTTGTTGGTCCTTACTTTTGCAGATGAGAAGCATGAAGGGCTTTTAGACATCTGGTTTATGAGGCGTGGGTTCTCGGCATGAGTGCGTTAGGTTGGTTCCGCCCACATGTTCTTCTAGGTCCCAGGCTGAGAGTTGTATTGGCAAGCAGCTCTCGCAGCTGTCTTGAATCTTTGGTTCTTCAGGATTAAATGTGTCGAGGGCATTCTCAGGAGTTCCGCTGTGGGGCCGTTCCCTCTCCCTATGGGCTCCCAGGGTCAGGCACTGATCAGAGGGAGAGCCTGACCTGTACACCCACTGGTAGTAGTGGTTGGGAACGCGGGTGAGTGCTGAGAGCAGAGGAGCTGGAGTGAGAGGAGGCCTCCCTGGAGAAGCCAGGTCTCTGGTCTCCAGCGTGGCAGTAGCTCCAGGCTAGAGCGTGGCCAGCAGCGGCGTGGCCAGAAGCCCAGGAAGGTATGGGCCTCCTGAGATCCAGGTTTTACTCTGAAGTGGCCACCTGGGGGCGACACTACTCCCTTTGCAGTTCAGTGGGCAGCAGTGTGGGAGCAGGGGCCAGCGGAAAATAATCAAGGGACAAAGGATGTTGTGTAGCCTGTGGACTTAGAAATCCTCACATTACAGAGAGACAGGGAATAAGAAATGTTATTTTGTTTTGTCTTTGTTTACCTAAAAGTTTTAATTTCTCAGGCTGGGAATGTGGCTTAGTGGTAGAGTGCTTGCCTAGCTTGCATGAAGCCTGGGCTTCGATTCCTTAGTACCATGTAATCCGAAAAAGCTAGAAATGGCACTGTGGCTCAAGTGGTAGAGTGCTTATCTTGAGCAAAAGAAGCTCAGGGACAGTGCCCAGGCCCTGAATTCAAGCCTCAGGACTGGCAAAAAATAAAAATAAAAATAAAGTTTTAGTTTCTCCAGTTTCAGAGTAAATCTATATACACAGTTCAGAAGTAGTTTTTCTTGTCTCTTAATTTTTTATCCAGTGGAAATCCACTTTGATTTTTTTTTTTTTTCTGTGTGTGTTGTTGGATATTAGACCCAGGGCCTTGTCACCAAGTACTTTTCAGCAAGTACTCTACCCCTGAGCTACTTCTCCAGCACCCACTTTCGTTTCTTAATGGTCAAACATTAGCTAATGCTTTCAAGCAAATGGCAGAGAGCCTGCCTCCATGAGCTCACTAGTGAGCAGGCACAAGACCGGCGCTGGGTGGGTGTACGCCGTGTCATCGGGGGCGCCTGCCCTGGTGTGGGCAAGCGGGCACCCAGCTCAGAGGCAGCAGTTTTGTCATAAGGATTGTATTGATCAGGACATTGCCTTTTTCCACAAGCATTTTATTTGAGTTATCTAAGTTCTGACATGGATCCGTGGTGTGTGCAGATCTGGTTGGTTGGTGTCTGGAGTGCTTTGCTCGGTTTTTGAGAGCTGTGAGAGGCACCCTTTATGTACCTCTAGGTTCTCTGTACTCTCATGACTGAGTGGAGCAGAGACGCCAGGAGACACTCACTGCTCTTGTCTTGGTTTCCTCCATGGCAGATCACGACAGGCTATAACCTGGAAGATGACCGCTGCGAGTGTGTGGCTCTTCAGGACTTCAGGGCTGGAGAGCAGGTGAGCCTCTTGTGATGTGCACAGCATGTGGCCACCAAGGCACTGAGTTCATATCTTCTTTGTTTTCAAACTGTCAAACTTAGAAAATGCAGGATCTGTCTTCAGGATCGCCTGTTTTCCAGGACATATCTTTAGACTTTAAGCCATGATAAATGCATTGTGCTTTGAATTGCAAAGCGATTTCACTATAGATCTTTGCACAGTTGACCTAACATTTGCGACACTGTTAATTGAAAATATACTTTCCTTATAATACTAAAACACTTTTTTTTTTCTTTTGGTTGGTCATAGGACTTGAACCTGGGGCTTGGGCACTGTCCCTGAACTCTTGCTTAAGGGTATCAATCTACCACTTTGAGCTATAAAACAAGACTCTCCTGGACTTTTCCGCCTAGGCTGTTTGAACTGCAATCCTCAGGTCTTAGCCTCCTGGGTTACTAGGATTATAGGTGTGAGCCACCAGCACCTGGCTACATTTTTTTTTTTTTTTAGTTCATCAACTGCATTGCTTTCAATTCTTTATCAAGAGTCAGTGTTTAAAAGATGAAAAAAAGATGTGAACCACGACCATAGCTTCTGTTTTCTTGTACTTTAATCAGTGATTTTTCTTTTTTTTTTTTTTTTTTATTTTATTGTCCGGTAGTGGGGCCTGAACTCTGGGCCTGGGCGCTGTCTCTCAGCTCTTCAGCTCAAGGCTAGCGCTCTACCACTTGAGCTACAACGCCACTTCCGGCTTTTTTCTTTTTGCTTATGTGGTACTGAGGAATCGAACCCAGGGCCTCAGGCATGCAAGGCAAGCGCTCTACCACTGAGCCACCTTCCCAGCCCTAATCAGTGATTTTTAAATCTAATTATTTTGGTGAAGGTTGAATATTTAGTTTGAAAATACACATTTATAAATGCTGCATTCTCTCTAACAGTTTTGTAACAAGCAGGTAATAAATATAAAACCAGACCCCTGGCATACCGTATGAGATGAAATGGAAAAAATTAGTCCAAGAGAGCTAGTCTGCTCTTTCTTCAGGAAAGTTCATAAACTGGGTACAAGGTGGAGGAATGGATTTCTGGCAGAAAAGACTCCTGTATTGAAAGAGAGGAAGACATTCTAAAGTGCAGTCCTAAAGGGGTGCCTTGACTGTCCTGCATCATAGGAACAGAGAGCTGGGAGAGAGGTCCCTGAACCCCAAGGACTAGCATCCTTGGATGGCCTTGTCAGACCCTCAGTCAGTGCCTCTCCTGGGGGCTCCCCTCTGCCTAGACAGTCTGGCAAGTTGGGACAATTACACATCTTGCCCTCACTAACGTGCTTTGCCAAGCAAGTGTATGGTTACTTGAAAATGACCTGTCTCATTAGTATAAAGTAGCATTAAATATCGAGAACTAATCCTTTGCCCTGTTATGTATTAAGAATGCATGCTAAGTTTGTTTTATGTCCCTTTATTCTTTCTTTACTGCATCTCAGATTTACATTTTTTATGGCACTCGGTCAAATGCAGAGTTTGTGATCCACAGTGGTTTTTTCTTTGACAATAATTCACACGACAGAGTGAAAATAAAGCTTGGAGTGAGTAAAAGCGACAGACTCTACGCCATGAAGGCCGAGGTCTTGGCCCGCGCTGGCATCCCAACGTACGTAGAGAAACATTGGCCGCTCTTTGCTGTGGTCCTTACAGTACTGAGTTGGTGTGTTAATACAATCCCTCTACAGTAGTTTGTCTTAGTCCTGTTACTCCTACACGGCGATCGTGGAGGTAGATGCATGGTGATTTAGCAGTGTTTGCAGACAGTCATGTTGCTGGGGGCACCACAGTCAGTCAGGGGATGTGGCCCATTGTCCTCATTACCTTAAATAACTGCCTTGGCCCCATTAATGTCTTTCACCTTGGAAAGGTTAATGACCTGGATCAATTTGTTTCATTTAATTCTTTGCCTCCATTAGTTTCTCTAATGAAGTCATGCTCCTCAGCAATTTCAAGAATTCCTGGTTAAGTTCTTTAAGATTTTCTCACATTTGAGGTGTAAAATGATAACGAAGACAACAATGATGATTTATTAGTTCTCCAGGGAATAGAGGAACCATTCTTAATGAAAATGGATGATCCAGACCTTTTTTTTTTTATTGAGCCTGTCAATATCTGATTAATGATTGAAGTGTGAACTCAACATGTTATTATTCACATTTTTTAGGAACTGTAGATATCCTTCTCCTAGCTGAGTGTGCAGCCCAGGATCAGGATGGTGGGATGCAGACAGGCTGGTTGAGGTGGCCAGGCCCTGGCGGGCCCTCAGCACCCTCCTCGGCCATGGGCCTGCCCCCAGGCACTCTGCAGAGATTGCAGCTTGCCTTTGAGGAACCTTGAGCACCACTCCCAGGGGTGCTGCAGGGCTTGAGTTTGCTCTGGCGGAATCGGGGATCCTGGCTGACTTCACTTCTCACTCTTGTCAGGTCCAGTGTTTTTGCCTTGCATTTCACGGAGCCACCCATCTCTGCTCAGCTTCTGGCTTTTCTTCGAGTATTCTGCATGACTGAAGGTAAAAACAACTTCAGGGGGAAAAAAAGATGTTGATTTTGTTGTTGTTGTTGTTTTTTGTGGTTGTGGGGCTTGAACTTGGGTTCTGGGCGTTGTCCCTGAGCTCCTTTGCTCAAGGGTATCTTCTACCACGTTGAGCCACGGCTCCACTTTTGGTTTTCTGGTGGTTAATTGGAAATAAGAGTCTCACACTTTCTTGCCTGGGCTGGCTTTGAACCACAATCCTCAGATCTCAGCCTCCTGAGTAGCTAGTATTATAGGCATAAGCCACTGGCACCTAGAGGGATATTAATTTTTTTAATTTATGAAAGTTTAAAGCATAGGGGAGTATATTAAGGATAAAATTGCTGGGCTGGGAAGGTGGCTTAGTGGTTGAGCACTTAGCTTGCATGCATGAGGCCCTGGGTTCAATTCCTCAGCACCACATAAGTGAAAAGAAAAAAGCCGGAAGTGGCGCTGTGGCTCAAGTGGTAAAGCGCTAGCAATGAGCTGAAGTGCTGGGGGACGGCGCCCAGGAACAGCGTTCAGGCCCATGACTGGACCCCCACCCAAAAAAAAAGATAAAATTGCTTAAAACTATGGAAAGACTTGGAAAAAATTATATTAAGTGAAGTAAGCCAGGCCTAAAGAAACATAGGTCCCATGGTTTCCCTTATTTGCAATAACTAGTATATGTCTGAGTCAAGCAGAAAAGGTGAGATAAGTTGATACTAGGGAAATGAACCCTAAGATATGCATTCAAATGTTTTTTTCTTTCATGCAATTGTTTCTAACACATTTATAAAATTATTTCTTTGTTGCTTTGTATGTCCCTCCCCCATGGTAGAACCCCTGATTTCACTGTATTTGATGTTGTTATATTTTGTGGAGGGGAAGGGAAAAAACAGATCGTTTAATAAAATAGGGATACAGGTGGACCCACTGCAACAATGAGACGTACAAGTCATATGTCGAAAACTGAACTTTACAACTTTGGTGGGGGAGGGGGAAGGTTAGGGGGGTTGGGGGAGGATGGGATGGGAAGGGGAAACAAAGGAGGAGGCTACAATGCTTGATAAGAAATGTACTCATTATCTTGCCTATGTAATTGTAACCCCTCTGTACAGTATTTTCACAATAAAAAAATTGCTTAAAACTAAAGCACCTTTGGGGAGTGAGAATATGGTAGTACTGGAGTCCCAAAAAAATGGCTCTATTTTACCCTGGAAATGTTAAATACAAAGCAGATAACTAGCATGGAAAACAAAATGTGTATATAACACAGAATGTTCTTGGCTAAGCCTCCCATTTCAGTCCCAGAAAGACTGAAGTACATGAGCGAGCATCCCTTATATGTTTTCTTAAGACATGTCAGCTGGGATTTCTTGTGCTGAGGTTTGACCTGGCTGTGTTCTTATTTTCACTCTAAGCTGTATTTCCCAAACCCACAGTGATCCTGAGGTTTTAGTTTCATTTGCATTTGTGCTAAATCTTCTATAGAAGAGATGGGAGGGGACTGAGTGAAAGTGTGTGTGAGCAAGTCACTCTCTGAGCAGTAGGGCTTGTTCTTCTGGAACAAAGCTGCCAAAGCAGGAGGGAGAAGGTGGTGTTTGTTACACAGAGCCAGTGGCCACCGAGAGACCGCTGCGCACTGCTGTCTGTGGCCACAGCCTCCTGTGTGGGTGCTCGAGTCCAAGGCTCCACGTCAGACTAGAGTGGAGGTGGCTTTGATGCCAGCCATGGAGCCAGACAAAGTGAGACGAGGTAATTGTTCCTTAAAAGAAACTGCATTGCTGGAGACTCGTCGTCAGATGGGGACTTGTGGTGCCTTTGTACACCAGTGGTGGTTTATCACCTCAAAGTTAGAGGTGACCTATGGGCTTTTCTTCTGTGTGTGTGTGTGTAAGACACAATTGAAAGTCACAGTTCTATCCTCAAGGAGTGTATAAGAAAGTGACAAACGGGGGTGGCAGTCGCTATCATTTGGGGCACTCACCATGTGCCAATCAATGTGTCTTATTTTCAGCTCACCAGGCCTGTGAGCCAGGCACCCCATTTCACTGATGTAGTATCCATTTCAAAGCAGATGGGTGACTTTGGCCAGTGAGGGAAGACCCTGGCTTAGAGCCTCCACAGCCTGTGCTCCACACACCTTCCAAACCCTTGCAGTTTGCAAGGAACTGAAGTTCTTATTGGAGACCACACTTGGGCCCTGGCACACAATCAGGATTTGGGGGGAGGAGGGGGAGGAGTAGGAGGAGTGAGTCTGAGGCAGAGGGAGGAGGGTGAACAGGGCTCTGGCTGCTCTGGGTGACCACACGGGCTGCAGCAGGCGGAAGGCAGCGTGGAGCCACCTGGGAGGGAGGGGCTGGCAGGAAATGGCCTGGAAGGAAACCTGCTTTCAGGCACCTGCTGTGTGCTCTGCTTACACCTTGGTAGGCTTCGAGTCTCCCAGTCTCCCACGCTGTGAGCTGGAGCCCCATAGACAGAAGCAGCGGAAGCTTGGGGTTGAATGTGGACCCCTGAGAAGGGAGGGACGAGCTAGTGCTTAGCATGTGGGGCTTCTGACAAATTTCTTCTTCTGAAGCTTTTTTTAGATTGCCATCTCTTCAGACAAAGTATTTAAACAGGAGAATCAAGAATTTAAAAGTTCTGAAGTTTATCATGCTGTTTTGCTAGCAAATACAACTGGAGAAATCTCTTTTTTTGAACATTAGATAACATCTATTTTCTTAAAATAAAAATTTAAAAAACAGAATCATTTTAGATCTATTGCTGCTCTTCAGTTTCTTTAGTCATCGGAAGACAATTTGTCATGTCAAGACAATTGATGTATTCTTTGAATTACTCCAACTAATACTAATAAAAGTTTGGTTTGCTGGCAGCGACTGTTCCTCAATTTGAATTGTAAATAGTGACAGCTGTAGGGCATTTTGCTCTGAAAGAGAAACTGTCTCACAATTACATAAGAAGCATTGGTGTATTTCTTGAGCATGAAGAGGGTGGGCATGTTTGGTCTTCTGGAGAGAATGTGCCAGGAGACAAAATGCTCAAAGCAGTTGCTGAATTCTTTCTTAAATATATTTGAAGGTAATTGAGATGTTCGCTTGTGTTTACTTGTAATTCCTATTTAAATTCCTGACAAGTGAGACACATATAGTCTCATTTTTCATTAACATAAAATCTTATGGTTCATCTTTTTTGTTTCTGTCCTTGGCATGTTTGTTATGAGATAAATAACTACCAGTCATCTTTTGAGTTCAGAGGGTCCCTAGGTTTTTATGACTCTTGCTTATTTTTGCTGTTTTTATCGCTTGGTATCTTTCTGACCTGTTGGCGTGATGGTGCCCCTGGCTCATGGAAGGGTGCTATGTAAGTGATGAGTCTGTGTCCATTGCCTTTGGACAGTCTAAAGGCTCTTGATGATGGTCATAAAAGCAGTGATACATGGAGCCCTTTGCCAAGGCTCCAAACACCGGAGTCCTCAACTCATCTCCTTGCCCAGAGCTGAGCTCTAACTCTGCCTTGGAGAGGGAGGAAATGGCCTGGGCTGATGGAGTGAGGAGAGCTTTTGGCCACAGGAAGATGACATTGCTAGAAGAGAGGTTTTCTCAGATAGATTGCTCATGAAAGTGAGAAGCAGTGCTGTTTTCCCTTCTAACCGGTTGCTATTTTTCTTTTTTTGTAGAAGAATTGAAAGAACATTTGCTAGGAGACAATGCTATCGACAGAATTTTCACCTTGGGTAACTCTGAATTTCCTGTCAGCTGGGACAATGAGGTCAAACTTTGGACATTTCTTGAAGATAGAGCCTCGCTTCTTTTAAAAACATATAAAACAACGATTGAGGTGATGAGTTTGATAAGTGAGGGTTTGCACTTTGTTTCCAAAGATCTTAGATTCCTTCTTACCTGTAACTTACTCTGATTCTTCAGCAGAATGTATATTTCACCTTTTTAAACGTAAATATTTTAGTATTGGTTATTAATAGTTGGTATGAATGCTTTTCTATGTATCATGTTTACACTTACCAAAAAATCACATTGAAGCATTACTGATTAGAAGGTAGCATTTGAGAAGTATTTAGCATTTAAAGAATAATTTCTGGTACGTGTTTCTACAGCCTAAGTTTGTGTTTGCACTTTGAAAGTTTGGCTTTGAGCCACCAGCTTTAAAGCCCTCTTTCTCCGTGCCTGCACGCGTGCATTCATGCTGTTCACCCGGGGCCCCGCTCAGGGTCCTCAAGAGGCTGAGGTCTTCTTTTTGAGTTGCACAGTTTTATTGAGATACAACTTACTCCAGTAAGATTTGCAAGTCTGCAGTGCAGTGTTGACAGAGTGTCTGTGTAGTAAGTCTTAGAACCTTCCTCACAGCCCAGCTTTCCTCAGGCCGCTGGCGGCTGACCTGCCTGTTTGTGCAACTTTGCCAGCTTGGACTTCTTGTCATGGCTTCTCTTCTTTGTTTTCCAGGAAGATAAGGCTGTCCTGAAAAACCATGACCTTTCTGTTCGTGCGACAATGGCCATTAAATTACGCTTAGGGGAAAAAGAGATTTTGGAAAAAGCAGTCAAGAGCGCAGCCGTCAACCGGGAGTACTACCGCAAACACATGGAGGAGAGGGTGCCACTCCCCAGATACGAGGAGAGTGACCTAGGGCTGCTGGAGGGTGGCATGGGGGACTCAAGGCTCCCGTTGGTCTTGAGAAACCTCGAGGAGGAGGCTGGCGGGCAAGAGGCCTTAAGCCTCAAGGAGGCTGTGAGCAAAGCCAAGGCTGCTGAAAACGGGCTGCTTAATGGTGAGGACTCCATCCCCAATGGGACCCAGTCTGGAAACGGGGGCTTCAGCCCAGAGGAAGGCAAACGGGTGGTTGAAGACGCCAAAGAATCTTCCGATTGCACCAGCGAAGTGAAAGAGCAGCTCTGAGCTGCCATGCTCTGTTGGCAAACCCGGTTCAGCTCAAGGTTTGAACAGTCCACGTCCATCGCCGTGTTCTTTGTTCACGTTCTCTTTCTGCAGAGAGGAAAATATGTTTTTGCTGCTTTATATAAAAATGATTTTTTAAGTTATTTTAAAGATCTAGTTTTGCTTTTTGATTAAGATTGCCAGCCTGCTTGTAGGCAAAGCGAGCTCAACAATGAAGGGGAAAGAGGTGCCTTTGGAAGATTCCGCAGCGTTCCCGTTCCCATTGTGGGCCTTGTGTTTGCTCTGGGGAAGAAGCCAGCCCCCTCTCAGCTGTGCCTTTGTGGGCCCTTCATCCTGACGCCCCGCCCGGAGTGAACGCTGCCTCTGCCTCCTGCAGCCAGCTGACGTGGACTTGGGGGGCGTGGCAGGTGGTGGGGTGGGGCGGGGCACAGCAGAGAGCAGGGTCGAGTTGGGAATCTGCATGTAGAGTCTGGGCAATGTCTTTTTTTTTCTTTAAAAAAATAATAATACCCCAGTACCAAAAGAAAGGTAAGGTGGCAACCTTATTTTTAATAGTTTTAAATGTTGATGATAATCCTAATTATATAAATATATATATATACACACACACATATATATCTAGTGATTTCTAAAGATTTGTTTACTTTTTGTGTTTCTGTTTTGCTGTACTAAGAACTTGTCCTTTTCCGTAAATCAAAGTAGGACATGCATCCTCCTCCTAATTTTAAATGTTGGCTCTAATTTCAGTGTGGCACACTTGATTTCTGGTGTTGGCAATGGGTGTGCAGCCCAGCTGTCCCTGGCTTTGCCTAGTGCTGCTCAAGGTGAGGCGGGTCCCTGGCTTTTCTGGTTTTCACAACAAGCTAGAGATTTTCAAAGCTACCCTTTTAAGTAAAGATACCCTTATTAAAAAGAAAACATGATTGATATTTTTTGTCTGTTTATTTTCTTTGGAGTGGGACAGGCCCTTTGTGTTGAGCTTTTATGCAGCAATCTTAACTGCCCTGGCGGCACTTGCTGACTGGTGAGCCTGTGCCCAGGCCATGCTTGCCCTTGGCATAGAGACTGATGATCATGGTCGCCTGTGCCTCAGCAGCTCCCAGGGGATTCCCTGGGAGGGCACAGGCAGCGGGCCTGCAGGGAGGGAGAAGGGGAGGGCGGGAGGAGGGGATGCGGGTGTCAGGCAGAGGCAGTATCCTACAACAGAGTACATGGCTTCTGTCCTCAGAAAGCTTCTGGTTTTCTGGCTAGTGATGGCTGGTGTTCCTTAACCACTAATTTTTACACGGTGTCTGGTGTCCTGTGAGTAGCTTGCTTAGTTTGAAGAAAGTGTATAAGTTTGTTAGCTGCTGCTGCTGCCGCCGCCGCCGCCGCCGCCACCCAGGCAGTCCTCCCACCCAGTGGTCCTCCGGTGCTTGCCACCATGCACTTGGGTGAGGAGCTCAGTGCATGGGCTTGTCTTGCCCCAGCAGCCAGACTCGTCTGCCTTTAGATCCCAGTACGAGCTCCATCTCTGGGAGGCTACAGATGTCTGCTGATGTTGGTGCCAGCCAGCGGGCCAGCCCTCTACCTGGGGTACTGCTGGAGATACGTGGCCGCACAGGGCAGTGGCCTGTTTTTCTAATCCATCAAAGATGTCCAGAGACTATGCTCTTCCTCTGCATGCCTGCACTTACGTTTTCTTACCAAATTAACAGTTTTCAAGCCTAATAACACTCAACATGTTTTTGAAGACATAGATACAGTTCTAGTGAAAAATAACATTGAAACATGGGGCAGTTTTCAGGCTATTCACAGCTCCAGTGGAGGTGGACCCCAGTTTTGAGGCCCCATTCCTGGGCCCTCAGGTTCCTCGTTTCTTCCTAACGATAAAGAATGACCCTAAGCATCAAACTCCCCTGCTGAAATAAAGAATCAGAGACTATATCTTTTGTCAGTCCCCTATCATTAAAATCTATTTCTGAGTCATTAGACCACAAAGTGACTATGTCAGTTTTATTTATAAAAGTAATTATGTAAGTTGTACTTCCAGTCTGTAAGAGTTCCGTGTCTGGAATGTACAATAGGCTCTAGTAGGAGCAAATTCCTTGACGTGGGAGACAGTACCCGTGTGGCCCTACCTTCCTGAGTCAGCCGGACTCCTAGAGCACTGCTCTGCGGTGACTAACCCCAGTGCGGGCCAGTTGCCCGCTTTGCCCATCCCGTGCAGCAGCTGTGGCACCACTCACACAGCCCGGCTCACACAACTGGGAGCGGCAGCATGAGCATTGGAGAATGAAGGCACAGCGGGTAACCTAGTGTTGAAGGACCTTCATTGCCATCCATCATGAAAGTAGGCCTCTCTCCCACGTCATGTTCAAGTTTTCTGTCTTCCTGTGCTTTTGGATGAGAGGCTATTGATGCTGGTCACTGGGAGCATGCCCTCAGCTGCCTCCCTCGGCCTTGTGATGCTTCTGTACATAGTTGGCAGCAGGTTTCACCAGCCTGAATAAAATCCACCCATTTCTTGCCACCTAGACAATTGAGACCTGGTTTCCTATGATTTCTAGAAAGGCTCACCAAGGTATATTTAATTTGCTTGAGAGAGAGAGAGAAGCAAAACATGAGCAGTACCCTCAGGTGCACAGGCGTTGTTGGATTAAAACTTCACTAAAAATGAGCGGCTTGGCTTTCTGGACGCCATGGCTTAGTTTTTTAGTAACTAATGTGTGTGTCAGAGTAAGAGAATAAATGCTAAGGAAAGAAGTGCTTGTGGCTTGAGCACAGAGCTGAACAGCCTTGGCTGCACAGAGTCCTGGTGGGACTGGGGTGCCCAGATGATGGGTACCGGAGCCGTGGTGCCAGGCTTCGCACAGCGCAAGTTACACTCTCTTCTTTGTATTATTGATCTGGTAGAGTGAGCATGCGTACTAGACAGAACTGACAGCCTGACTCAAGAATCCAGCTCCTTTTTGTTTAACATGGGTATGGAGTAGAATCCAGTAACTTCATTAAGGGTCACCCTATTATTTTAATCAGCAGCACCTTATATAATGTATTCCTAAAGTTCTCTGTGTAAATTGAATTTGAGTAACTCCAGTTGTATTTAAATGCACCAGCAGATTTGTTATTTAGATGGAGCTGCCCTGCTGGACCTGGGTCCTCCTGGGCAGGAGGAGGAAGCCTGGGCAGGGCCACGCTCTCCCTGTCCTCTCGTGTTTGAGGAGCTGTCACGTGAAGGAGGGAGCAGGTGACTCCCTGGCCGTGGTGACTCCCTGGCCGTGTGGAAGGCACAGCCAGGGCTCGGGGTGAGGAGGCGCTGCTGCCTCCCAGTGCACACCCCCTGGTGGCTGTACCGAGGGTTAGCACCTGAAGTACAGGGCCGTCACCGCCTTCTGAGGAGCAGGAAGATGGGGGTGCAGGACAGGGACCACGCAGGCCTGCTTCTGTCTTGTTCTGCTCCTCCCCCACCCGGGGGCTGGAAGGGAGCCCTGGGAGCTGTCCTTCCCCGTCCTTCCCTAGGCTGTTTGCTCCTGCTCCTGTCTGAAGAACCCCGAAAGGACTAAAGAGACAATGGACCCAAGGTGGAAAGGGTGAGTGGCACTGGGGATGGCAGAGTCACTCCTGCTCTGAGGGTAGAAGGGTGCGGCACCTGCTGGGGACCGCAGTTTGTGGTCTGATGATAGGTTCTGTGGGTAGTTCTCACTCCTGCCTCCTGCCTTCCAGGAATGGCGGCAGACATTGAACAGATGACTAGGTAGGCAATGCTTCCAAGGAGAAATTAGCGTGGAGGGAAGGGGCATAGCACTGGGCTTTGGGGACCTGTGTTTTCTGTTTTCTTTTTCTTTTTCTGGTCATGGGGCTTGAACTCATGGCCTGGGCGCTGTCCCCGAGCTTTTGCGCTCAAGGCGAGCACTCTACTACTTCGAGCCAAAGCTCTACTTCCAGTTTTCTGGTGGTTCACTGGGGATAAGAGTCTCACAGACTTTCCTGCCAGGCTGGCTTTGAACCCCAGTCCTCAGATCTCAGCTTCCTAAGTAGCTAGGTGGCATGAGCCACTGGTGTATTTTCTGTTTTGGCAGTGCTGGACTTGAACAGGGCGCTCCACCACTGAGCCAGGCTTCCACTTCTGCTTTGGGAGGGATTTACTCATTAGCACCCACAGTGGGAGAGGGCAGAAAGAAGTGAGGGAGAAGATAAAAGAAGGGACTGAGTTCAGTACTCAGGGCAGCACTGCTGGAAACTGAGACTGGTTCCTGTGTCCACTGGAGTCCTGGCTCCTGAGTGGGGAGCACGTGGGGAGCGTCCATCCTTCAGGGAAGGAACTTCTCCAGCAAAGCTGAAGAGCTGTCACCACCTTCTTCAAATTCCCTCCAACGCTGTGGCTACCCCAGGTGGGTAGAGCCAGGCCAAAGTGCAGAAGCCTGGCCCAGATCATAGAGCTAAGGAGGTGTCCTTCTAGTACAGAGTTCCTAGGTACACAGTGAGGGTCCTGACTTACCAGTTGAGTATAGAAACACAGGCCTGACAGGGACATTCATGTAAGGGAGCTCTTAAAACATTTAACACACACACATACACACACACCCATACACACTTTTATTTCAAAATCAAGAAATACACCAACCCAACTCAGAGGCTTGTGCGTTGGGGATTACTGTGGAGGGCGTAAGAGATGATGGTGATTATCTTTCATACTGTGCCAGCATTGCGCACCCAGGAATCCTAGCAGACCCCAAGAGCCCGAGAGGCAGGAATTCACTCCCAGGAATCTTTTCTGTTTTTGTTTTTGTTTAGGTCTGAGATCAGGACTGGAACTTGGTACCTGATGCTCTCACTCGATGGCTAGTGCTCTACCAACTGGGCTATGCCTCCAACCCCAACTCGCAGGAATGTTTCCACAGGGCAGCTCAGGCTCCACAGCAGTTGAATCTGCCAGGCTTCCAGGGACATCTTGGTGGGCAAGGCTGGGTACTAGCCTTCTCCAGAGTCAGGCAGCCCAGTGTTGTGACTGATCACTTCGATGAAGCCCCCATGGTTCTGCTTTTCCAGGCTATGTCAGGTGCTGTTGCCTGACTTAAAAAATTCTGTCGCAGGCCTCCCAAAGCCTGGAGCAGAGCTTCCTCTGACGTACAGCATGTTTCCCTCAGTCTCTCACACATTTCTTTTAGGCTTTGCTCTCCATTTGGTGTCAACTCCCTTGGCCTTCCTGTCTCAGTCCTAATGTGGGTGTATAAGGAGAAAGGGCCTGCTCACGCTGCTTCCTGTGTCCGCTCACAACTAGCTTTTCCTGGACACCTGGCATCCACCAGAAGTCATTCTGATCCTCTGGCTGCCTTGGATCTCATCCTGCAAAGACCTTTGCTCCTGTAGCTTCTCAGCAGCCTGCACGGGTGAGCCATGCATCCTGCAGGTGGGAGCAGGTGGGGCAGCCTCCTCTTCACAGGCTGCCAGGACAGAGTTCCTTGGTGTTCAGGGATCGCCTGAGATGGGCTTTGCTGATGACAGACAGGAGTGTGTCAGAAAAGTACTGGTTTTGAGGTTTCTTGCATACAGGGTTTGGTCAGAAGCCGTGCCTCCAGCCTGTGGAGAGGCAGATGAAGCAGGTGAGTGCCTCCTGGGATGGTATGGGCTGTCGTGAGTCCATCTGTCAGTGTTGTGGAGATTGTTTCCTCCAAACTCTGTGAGCTTCAGGAGTTTGGCTAGTCTGGACTGAACTAAGGAATATACCTTTGGTCTCACCCATGCTGTGGTAGAAGTGACTGGAGGTTAGTTTAGGGGTCAGAACCTCCCAGCGCAGAGCTCTACACTCTTTTCTAGAGAAGATGTGTTCTCATATGGACAACTTCTCTCCCAGATGTGTGTGTGTGTGTGTGTGTGTGTGTGAGATGTGGGGGGCGAGAGGGAGATTTTGTGTATATAAATATGTATGTCTATAGACACATGAATGCAAAGCTTTCTCCAAATTCACAGTCTTCTTGTTTTGTTTTAGATTGTTTCGCCTGAGGCTGGGTCTGACTATTTAGCCAAGCTGGCCTTGAACTGGCGATCCTCCTTCCTCCACCTCAGGGCTCAGATTATGGGTTTGAGCCACCATGCCCACTGGGGCCTGGGAGCTCCTACTTGCAGAATGGAACAGCCACCTAAGGTTGCTGGGAGGAGCAGGTAATACACACCAGTCCCAGTGTGAGCTGACACAAGAGTTACTGTGTGGTCTAATACACACACATGTGTGGCCTAGTGTGGGCATCCAGGGATTGTTGAATGAATAACTGAAGGACCGATTGATTCAGTGGCCCAGTCAGAGGTACTGGTTGCTTGCGGGGTGGGGCGAGGCTCCTGGGCCTAGGGAGCTATTCCTATCATTCCTGTGACTCTGGGACACGGTCTCCATTCAGGCTGCCACTGCCCCATTCACCATGCACCACCCACACCTGACGAGTATGCTGCACTGAAATACTGAATTCATTTTGTACATGTCATCTATATTTATATGTGTTTCAGTGAACAGCCATCTTGACATGCACCTCCAAATTTCTTGGCTCTGAGTTTTCAAGTACCTCTTACAGGCAACTCAAAACAAACCCTCCCGAGTGTCAATGTAAATGACAACTGACTGAAGTCACAGCAGGCAATAGCCGTGTGCACCTACCTCAGCTGGCCTAATTGTGTGAACAGTGCTCTGGCTAACACCAGGGTGTGTTGTCAAGTGCATCGTGAAATGCTGCTAGAGACACAGCTACTGTTATTTCATGTCCAAATTAAAAGACGGTTTTGTGCTGGTCATTGGCAGTCGTCAAAATAACTAGCATTGAGTTTACATTATCTAATGACTTAAGATTGGTTGACACCATGGAGACTGCAGTTATAATTACAATCAAGAACCCCGCCCCAAGCCCCCTTGGGTTTTAAAGGTGCTTTGAGAGGTATCAGGGAAAGGCGTTGTACTGCTTGGCTCTGCTCCGAGTCATGGGCTGAGTATCAGCCTAGATTAAATTAGGGCATGTTGATGGCCTCCATCCCCTCCTGTCACCTCCTCCTCAAAAGCAGGGCTGGAATAGAAGCCCCAGCCCGCTGCAGCTGACAGCTCCAGCTAGCGAAGGGGGAATCTTTCCATGAAAGCCTCCACCATGTTGCTCTGCAAGGCTGGGGTCTGAACGGAGGGAAGCCAGGAGCAGAGCCCTGGCCCTGTTCTTCACCACATGTTGAGATGCTGTGAGAGCCGGTGACTCACATGCCACCAGCAGTAACCAAAGCTACCAACTCAGAACGGCGTGTTCCCGGGAGGGCTCCGGCTACTTTGCATAAGTTAACTAGGTGGAGTGCTCCAAGTGCCGAGTAGATCTGAGCTTTTAATTTGCAATGGCAAAGGCAGACTTGTCTTCCAGTAGTCCCTATCTTTGACCTGAAGTTGGCAGGGTGGGAGAGGGGGGTGTGGAGTAGCGCATTGGGAAGGGAGGCACCTGAGGGGAAAACATTATTCCCACCGCACACACGTTAGATGGCTGCAGTACCACGTTGGTCTTCTCTGGGGCTCAGAATACCAGAATCCAAGCAGGCATCAGGCGGCTGTGCCTGTCTGCCCACACACAAGTGCTAAGAACAGATGGCAAAGGCCCCGTTCCCCAGGTGACAAGTGGAGGTCCAGCCACCAGGCTGGCCAATGCAGAGGCGAGCTTCAGTGTCCTCATGGCCTGTGCCCAAGTTTGTCTTCTTTAATATGCTTTGGGTCAGTGACAGCTACAGATCTGCCTGGCAGGTTCTGGGGTATCGATATGTACGGGCACTGCCCTGTGCTCTGGCTGGTGGCCCCTAGGAAGTGACATGCGATACCTGTGGACAGGCTGAAGGAGGCAGAGAATGGTGGCCTGCGGCCAGGTCCTCATGTCCTCGCTGGTGTGCTATGGTGAATGGAAGGCAGGCTGGGCAGGCGGGCAGGGCCATCAGCTCCATACTACACCTGATCGTTGATGCTTGTGTATTCTTTCATAACCTCACGCGCATTCTCCCTCCAGCCACACACACACTCCACACACACACTCACAGGTTCATTTCTATTACCAAACAATGGAGAATCTGTCTCTGATGTATTCATTTTATAACTTAGATGAAAGCACGCCTCGGAAAGCTAGGATGGTTGTCATGGTTTTAAATATCACATTGCCAGATTTTCTAACATTCTGGGATCAGTGGGGGGATACAGTCACACTTAGGAGACACATGCATCCCAGCTTTGGGACTGACCTAATGATCTCCAGGAAGTCCATATTTCCTTCACCAAAACCGAAACCCATGGAGACCGGTAAGCAGGACCAGGCCTGTCTCCAAATGGCCATTCCTCATCTCCCCATGCACGGCATATAGAAAACTCACCTCTGCAGCCCATTTGAGGGGTCACTGAATTGTCACAGAAGCCATACCCTTCAGAATACCTTTAAAGGGGCAGAAACAAGGATTTAGAAAGCCGGAGGTCAGTAATGGTGATATCCAAGCATCAGACCTTGTCTGCTCTCTGTATTTGATTCCTGTGACAAGTTTTGTCATTTACTGGCCAGGCTACTCATGGCCACAGAGGCTCGAATCTCTGCTCACTGACACTTCGGTGTCTAGAAACCCAGGTGAAGAAGGACCCTCCCTGAAATAAATAGGGAGTAACTCCCATAGGCATCAAGTAATCCTGCAGTCTAGCTGTAAGGAAGCCAGGATTTCCTGCAGCAATTAAGGTACATGATTGGATGCAGGGGAAACTTTATAATTGCTCCCAGGTAGCAATTTACTAGGGTAGATGTTACTTATGACATGTGTCAAGAAGGTCAAAGTTTATACTTCCTTGGACATTAACCTAATCTTGGAACCTCTCAAAGTTACACTTTTTGGTCATTAATTTTTTTTTACAAGCAGAGATTTTGACAATTAACCCAGTTAATAAAGGTCAAATTTCAATTTTTTTCCAATTTCTGCAGCATTTAACTTATTCCTTTTTGAAAACGGGAAGATAGCGGATGATAAATAGTTATTAAATGAGTACAAGGATGTAGTTCTTCTGTCACGGTGATGACTACGAAACAGCTGATCCTGGAAGAATAGAATTGCTGTGTATCTGATGGGAAGGAAAGTAGATTACAAGCCAAGGAAATAGAAAAATTAAGCCCAAATAATGTGTGCTGCAAGTGGAATAATGTGAGTATGCGCACTTGTTAAATCATTTTAGGATTCTAGCCATTCAATTATGGAGGCTTCAAGTCTTCAACCGTCGAATCTGCACATTTTAGAATAAGTAATTTCTGCAAACTTGCAACCAAGCACAACTTGGGTTGAGAACCAAAATGTCGCCACCAGGCTGCGGCCCTTCCATGAATCCACAGACCAATGCGGTCAAGTCACCCTGACCAGAGAGAGGCCAAGGGCCAAGGCCTAATGGTAGGCTGCTCATCCTCCACACCCACCCACCACGAGCAGCCCAGGGGTGGGCATGGGGGATGGAAGAGATCTTAATCTGTGGTGTGGGATGAGCCAACACCACCGTCTCTCTTCTGCTACTCTTTCAGTTCCTGTTAAAAGCAAACAGCACATATGCCATCCCCTTGGTTCTGGGGGTTCTCCCCCTGGGTGATACCCATTTCCCTTTGCTGTTTGCACGCCTGATGACAGTGTCAGTTGGGATGAGAGGCTAGCCAGGACTCTGTGCGGGGAGAGATAGGTGGAGGTCTTGCATTTTGCTTTGTGAGGGCAGGTGCCACAGCCAAGTGGTTTGCCTTGGGCGCATCTGGAAGTGTTGCTACTGTCGTGTTGGACAATCTTCTTGTTCCCCGTTGAGAGGACTCCAAACCAGTTTGACTCACTATTCATCCAACACCAAGGATGTGTGAGGAGCCAGCACCTGCCCCTCCGTGATGCCCCTTGGCCCTCCACGTCTTCCTGCCCAGCCTCTCCAGGTTTATATGCTGCAGCGAGGTTCCATCTGCCCCGGCCAGGATGTGCCCATCTTTCCCTTGTTGACATCTTGAGTCCGGCTTCTCTCTTCAGGGCCATGTCTAGCCAGCTCTGTGTCCTCACTCTTTCTTGCATATTGTAGAGACTCAGAAAATGCTGAAAGGAAAAGTCCAAGTCGTTTTACTCAGCCAAGGATGGAGACTATTGAAACTCTCTACTTAGTAATCTTAAAAAAAATAGCAACTGAGCCAGGGTGCCAGTGGCTCATGCCTGTAATCCTAGTTACTCAGGAGGCTGAGATCTGAGGATCAAAGCCAGCCTGGGCAGGAAAGTCTGTGAGACTCTTCAATAAGCCACTAGAAAACCAAAAGTGGCACGGTGGCTCAAGCAGTAGACAGCTTGCCTTGAGCTGAAGAGCACAGGGACAGCGCCCAGGGCCAGAGTTCAAGCCCCACGACTGACAAAAAAAACTGAGGCTGGGCATTGGAGGCTGATGTGTGTTAATGCTAGGCTGAGGACTGCAGGGTTGCAGTCCTGAGATCTGAGCATCAGGACTCAGAGTCAGCCCAGACAAAGAAAGTCTCTGAGACTCTTAGCTGCAATTCACCAGCAAAAAGCCAGAAATGGAGATGTAGATCAAGGGGTAGAACACCAGCTCTGAGCAGCAAAAAAAACTAAACAGAAAACTAAGAGACAGTGCCCAGGCCCTGAGCAAAAATAAGTAAATTAAAAAAAAAAAAACAGGCAATTTGGCTGTGAAAGATGGAGAAAAACAGTAGAAGAGGGGACAGTGATCAAGACGCCGCATATTTATCCACTGTTTTGTTGAATTGGGAATTAAAAATAGGCACTTTGGAAACTGCTTTCATCTTAACCATCCAACCAACTTCTGCCTGTGCTTAAGTGTGGACAGCTGCCCTGAGGAGAGGAGAGGCCCGGTGGCGACTTGCTGGTAAGGAGAATCATTTGATCAAAGATTTGTAGTTGGGTGACACAAATGTGATTCGGTTACAGAACTCGAGAACAGCAAGTCCTCAGGAACCCGTACCACGTGCAGCCACGGCCACCTGCGCAGGGCACCACAGAGGAAGCGCAGGATGGCGGAGCAGCATCTGCTGGGCCCAAAATACCTCCACGGGCTGCAAACCTGCCTGAAACCTGCGGCAAACCCCAGCACACCTGACTCTTGGAAACCGTGGCAGGGCTTGATGTTAAAACAGACTGTCGGGTCCTAGCTAGGAAACAGTTGGGAAGGGCGACTCTGGTCTTGTTTTCTTCCCTTTGATTTCTATGGTGTGTTCACCTGAGTGCTCTGACCCCTCTCCTCCTCCTGCCTCTCAGTCCTCCTCCATCTTCAGCCTCCCCTCCCACCCCATTCTTACCAGTTCCACTCGCTGTCACCCCATTTCTCTCTCTCTTTTCCTCAGTGGACCGCGTCTGAGATGCTACTGCCTCTCAATCTGTTCTGTACCCCACGGGGTTCTGTACCCCTGTATGTAGGACGGAGGGCTGGCGGGGGGCACACCAGAGGAGGAAGTGTGGGAGCCGGCTCAGCAGACAGCAGTTTAATAAGAGGCAGAGGGGTGGTGACAGGCAGGTGCTCTTGGGGCTGGGCTGAGGTACAGGAGGATGGGGAGGTGGGAGGGGAGGGCTGAACCTTGGGACTTTCTCTCACCACAGCAAAAGAGGCTGTTTTTCTCCTCTAGGGAGGGGATCCGCTGAGTTCCCCTGAGATTCCCCAAGGCCCCCTCACTCCCCCCCCCATCCCAGATACCAGGATGAAGTGGAAGGTGCCCAGGTGTTGGCTG